CGCAGCCCGCAGGGGCCCCGGGGGCCGCCCCAGCTCCTCACCCTGCCTCGAGTCCCGGGGAGAACCGCGAGAACCGCTCCGCCTACCGCGCGGGCTGAGAGGCGGCGCGGCCGCAGAGGCAGAGGGACCCGGTTTAGAGGCCACGGAGTCCCGCCCAGCGTGAGGTCACCCGGCCCCTCCCCGGGGACAGGACAACAAGAGCTTCGCGGAGCTTCAGGCCCGAGGCAGGGACCGCCCACTCCAGCCTCGGACTGACCGGACCCGCTGCCGCCCACTCACCCGGCGCCTCCCTCCGCGCGCCTCCTCCGGGGAGGCCCCCACCCGGCCTCCGCTTTATGCTCGGTCCCTGCACACACGTCACACGAGTGTAAGCAGTTCATCTCCTCCACTAGAGCGGGCTTATAGTTTTAAACTATATTAAATAAAGGCATTAGAAGACAAGGGTCTAGCAGAGAGTACTTTTTGTTTTGTTTTTTAATATCTTTATTGATTTCAGAGAGAGGAAGGGATAGAAACATCAATGATGAGAGTCTGCATTGATAGGCTGCCTCCTGAACGCCCCCAACTAGGGATCCAGCCAGCAACCCCCGCATGTGCCCTGACGGGAATTCCAACCGGGATTCGAACCAGGATCTTCTGGATCTTAGGTCGATGCTCAACCGCTGAGCCACGCCAGGCTGCGATAAAGTACTTTTAACTATTGGGTCTTATGCCATCAGATACGCCCCTAAACCTGGCACACAGTAGGCATCCCATGAATGGATGAATAAATTGAATGACCAAACACAGGCCCTTCCTTACACTGGGCTGTGACTCCACAAGAGTAGAACCAGCTCCAGTCCATCTCCATGTTTCCCCCACTCCCAGCCAGCGCTGGGCCTTGGAATCAGGATGCTTGCGCCAAACCCTGGCCCTGTCACTTGCTAGCTATAGGATCCAGGCACCCTTCCCTCTCTGAGCTTCAGTTCGTTCGTCTGTAAAATGGAGTGATGATACTGTACAACATGTGAGATAATACATAAAACTACATTCCCCAAAGGGAGAACAACAAATGGAATGGTACTTATAAAGTGCTGAGCCCCATGTCAGGCACGTGGTAAATCATGTTATTAACATGAGCAAGGCTGCAGGTGTTATTCACCAGCTTCCCAACAAGGAGAGTCAGAGGCCCCGTAAGTAAACACCAGAGCTTTCTGTGCATTACTACTCACCGCACAAAGTGCTGTGCACGTGGAGCAAGTGACCAGCTGTAAGGCAGTCCAAACCTAGGATGGCCAAGTCTGCTTTTAAGGAAACCAGACTTTCTGCCCCTCCCTACTCTGTTTCCAGAATTGCTCAAATGTCACATCCCTTATGTGTGTGTTTTTTCCTGTCATATTGCTGTGCCAAAAAAAAACAAAAAGCATCAAGAGGGGCAGGGATGTCAGGGTTCTATATTGTTACCTTTCAAGCTGCTCTAAAGGAGGAGCTGTGTGAGGAAGGCCCCAGGCCTGAGAAGCTACCACTTGATGCCAGCACTGTCAACAGGATTGTCCTCAACCCATTCTGCATTGTCACCACTGTACAGGTGGACAGCCACACCAGAATCTGTCACATGCCTCCAAAGGCTCTGGTGTTTTCTGCAACCATAGCTATGGAATCCTGCTGTGTGGAGATTCTTTGGGGGGTTTTTTTTGCACTTGTGAGCATCTAATGAACTTCCTTCCATGTGGCTTCAAGCTTCTGGGACTCAGGCCTCACCAACACCCTTCATCTTCTCCTCAGCTCTTCTGCTGAGAACTTGGCCTTCACCATGACTGCTGTGGGACTGCTCCCCAGAACTCTATAGTAGCCAGGTCGCACGTCAATGATAGGAGCAGCTCGTCCTGTTTTTGGCAGCATTTACATGTCTGCTCAGTGACCAAGGCAGACAGTTGGGCAGAAGCTCTGGTTCCTCTTTAAGTGATCATGCCTCACACCAACTTTCCCAAAGGAACCTGGGTGATATCTGTCAAAGTCAATCCTGTGATGGATGATGCAAGCCCCCAGCATTACCTCAGCCTCCGGGTGCTTCCTGTGCTTGCCGATGCGGCAGTGGCTGCGGCCTACCTGGCCCCGGAGTTCCCAGCTCTTCCTCAGTCTGGAGAGCACGTCGGTGGTCAAGATGCCCCATGTGGGGATTCTGAGCAGGTGGGTAGGAGTGGAAGCAAGGCCAGAGCTGAGGAAAGGGGGTTGGGGGAAAGTGGGCAGGCAACGGCATTTACAGGAGGCTGTTTGCAATGCTTCTTTACACATGAGAGCAGAACCATGGGAGCATTTCGTGATAACATCAGGGTTTCTGTCGCTTAACAGCAACTCTCAAAATAGGAGCGTCTCAGGGAAAGTGCTCCATCTGCCACCTGTACCTACTCTGTACACGGACCCAGGCTACTCTGGTGAGGCTTTGTGAACACACCAATGTTGAGTTTGCTCTAAACAAAAAAATCAGATATTCTGAAAGGTGAAGTATAACTTCCCCTGAACCCCCAGCTTTGAAACCCCTCAAGTCCTATTAAGAGGCAAGAACAGATCCCCACTGAGAGACCCTGAAGAGCTTCCACTGTATTGTGTGCAGCACAACCACCTCTACTCCCCTTAAGGGACTATCCTGAAATGTTCCAGGCACTCATTCCACTGTGTGTTAAATGGCCAGGCTGGGGAACTGGTAACTGCTGTGGACACTCATTTTTGTCTGGCCAGCATTCTCTAACTTGGTGACTGTGGGGTTCTGTTGGGGCTGCCAATCACAGTACCCTATCACCCAGACTAGAGACACATGTGACCTAAGTCTGGCTGGTTATTGTGCCCTAGCCGCCAGACTAGTGATTGGCCCTGGAAGGAGCATATGCCCCAAGTCAGACCAATAAGCAGCTTTCTCTAGGCTGGAGCTATATATATATACACACACATCCTTTAAATAAGCAGTGGGTAAAAAAAAAAAAAAAAAAGTCTCTTTCCTCTGGGGATATAAAAATAGGATGATGTAAGCCGGGAACCATTTGTGCCTGCCCTCCCCTGAAGCAGGATGGAAATCCTGCAAGAGCAGATAATTTGGCCACTGCAGACTTAAAAAAATAACCTGCTGGCATTTGATTTCTTCCAGTACCTGAAGTCAGTTTTACTCTACACATCATTTTTCCCAGTTACCATTCCTTTTTAAAAAATCTAATTCAAGTTGGATTTATCTTTGGCAAGCCGATATATGCTGATCAAAGGCAAGCGTGTCAATGTGCCAGAACAAGCCAGTTAGCTTTCCTCCCCATCCGCACATGGCCTCTTCCCCACCTTGATGTTTCCCCCAGCTTACGGTGACGCAGCATCGACACTGATGGGAGTACCCGCGTTTTCCCCATACCCTTCAAATCATACCAACTTGGGGGGCTGCCCCTTCCCCACTAAACTGTGGTGAGCTCAGTAGAACCCCTAGCATGACGCCTGACATATGACCACCACCAGGGAGGGAGGGAGGGAAGAAGGCTACTGACCCTACCCAGTGTTTCAAACTGGGGAAACCTTTTTTACTGTAGAGCAAAGTAGGGCATATCTAGTGGTTAGGCAATATATGAGATGTCCTATGCAACCTCCCCACTGCCTCCAAGGTGGTCAATGAAAGGGAAAGCTTTCAGTAGAACCTGGCCTCACCCCACCCCAAAAAGAACCATTTAACCAGTTGGATCCAGATGGAACAACCAAATGAAAGTGCCACAAGTTCAAGGGTCCTCAGAAGTCCATGTTACTATAAATAAAACTTGTATTCGATTATAAGCAACACCACCAACAGCATAGCCTTCTCCAGCACTATGCTAGTAAGATACTAACTAGTTCGGTATTGTTTTGTAGGACAGAAAAAGCTGATTCAAACCACATTATCCCTACATTTGACACCAAGTTATCCATCTTCTTAGAGATCCTATTTGCTTTACCACACCCAAACCTATTTCACAGATCTTCCCATATTAAAGAAAAAAGAAGAGGGGGAAAAAAAGACACGATGTTGTGATCTTTATTCCATTAAATGACCTTACAAGAAAGAAACAGAAACATGCTTTTAATATAGGAATAGCATAATCTCATCCTATTGCATTTTTTAAAGAAGTGTATTAAATTTTAAAGCCATTTTAAAGGGTATAGGAGAAAAGCACTTTAAACAAATCATTTTTAAAGAAATCTGAGAAGAAAAATTGTGTATGTTCAAGATTAACATTATCCTTTAAAGGCTTTAACAGGGGTGGGAAATATCAGGCCTGAGGGCTACATAGGGCCCAAGAAATCATTTGGTCAGGCCTTGTCAAGGCAACTACAGGTGGGACATGAAATTTAGTAAGTTAATATTTTATCAAATACAGCAGGCTAATTTTCACTTGATAATTTTGTATGGCCCACAAATGATGTTATAAATATCCAAGGCCCTTAGCAGAAAAAAGGTTTCCCACCCCTGCTTTAGTCCATGACAGCATTTACTCATCCAAACTGGAAAGCTTTGGGAGTCAGTCAACCTTCCCTTGGTCAGAAGAATGCTACCTTTAAATCTTAGCTCTGGCACATGAAATTCCTTCCCAAGGAAGAAAAAATTTTCAATCTTTCTGCCCCTAGATTTTGAAAAGTTCCTGATATGGGTTACTTTTGTTGCTAATTTTCAAAGTTATGATCCTATCCCGCCTGTTTGTTCATTATTTTTATTTATGGCTTAAGGTTTTCTGTGCATGACTTAGAGGTTCAAATCACAGTGCTGAATTTTGCTTTTTAAAAAGAAACATAACTTTTACTTTGGCCGGGTGGCTCAGTTGGTTGGCATGTCATGCCGTACACCAAAAGGCTGCGGGTTCAATCCCCGGTCGGGGCACGTGCAGGAGGCAACCAATTGATGCTGCTCTCTTACATCAATGTTTCCCCCTCTCTAAAAATCAATAGAAACATGTCCTTGGGTGAGGATTAAAGGAAAAGAAACAACTTTCAAAAGTTCTTTTTTTAATCCTAATTACACCTGCTACTAAATAGGATACTTGTACATTCATTTTCGAGAAGGCACTATGACATCCAAACTTTGAGAAACAGCTTTAAGGAGCTTAATCCTCCCGATTACAGGCATCCTTACTGCTCTGAACACTGAACTCCGTGACTGTACCTGGCAGGCCACCTCATCTGAAAGGCCAGTAAAAGCCGCCCACTTGCCCCCAGACCGTCCTGAATTGCACTTTCCCACCGCACAGCGCAGTCTCTCACTGCTGTCTCCAAACCACCTGCAATACTGTTTCTAGAAGTGGTGATTCTGGAGCCACAGCCAGACCAGCTGAGGCAACCCCTGGATATAAAGCTGGTAATTAGAAATTTTTAATGAAGAGTCCCAATAAGTCGTATGTACTCCAGGGTAGTTAAGAACCACTACCTAAACACAGCTACAGTATGATTTAACAAGGAAAACTACCCAATTGAAAATGGTCTTTTACAATGGGGACCTTAATGTCACTTTAAAAAACCACTAACACGAGTAGTTTCTACTTTCATAAGTGATGCTTGTCTTCATTATGCCCTTATCACTTGACTAAAATTCTGTTGGATCTTAACGTAAGCCGGAATGATGTAGCCCGTGTTGGCTACTTTAGTGGTAGCTATCCTAAATCATCCTAAATTAAATTTCAATAGTTCTATGGGATAAAAAAAAAAAAAAAATCCATGAAGCCCGCACAGGGTGGCTCAATTGGTTGGAGCATCATCCTGTACACCAAAAAGGTTGTGGGTTCAATTCCCTTCAGGGCATGTACCCAGGTTGCGGATTCAATCCCCAGTTGGGGTGCATATGGGAGGTAACCGATTGATGTTTCTCTCACTCTCTCTTCCCCTTCTCTCGCTCTAAAATAATCAATAAACATATCCTCGGGTGAGGATTTTAAAAAAAAAGTTCCATGAAGACGTCCATGTAAATTATTTAAAAAAAAACAACACTAGGAAAAATATAAAATGTTTTTATCATTTTTGCCTGAACTTAAATCAATTTACTCAATTTCTCTGTAATTCATACATACATACATACATACTCATCCAAACTTACCCTATCCAGGACACCATTTTTATAACAAGAACACTGGGTATGACTGCTAAAGAAACATGCTGCCAGCACAAGGTAGCTTGTTTGTTTCCCTAAAGCATTTTACTTCGTGTAAGAGAAAAAAGAGAAATAACAGGTAAAGCAAAAACAATATTCACAAGCAATATTTCCAAGTATGGAACAAATTTCTCAGGATACTGCTAATAAGGAATGAGCCGGAAGATGTTTTATCATCACACATGATAACATGATAGTTTGCCCTCATTTTGTCTACAATCCAACATAGAAAGATTTCTCAGTGGAAGGATCAAAAATTTTATTCTATTATTTTTACTCTAAGCTAACTGGAAGCATTTAAAAAAACAACAACAACAACAAAACAGACCTTAACATTTAAACAGACCTTAACCTCTCCTGAAATGAGTTCCTGTAAGAGAAAATTTTGAAAACCTTTTATGTTAATAGGAGCGTGCCCCTATGCTGTTAGGAATGTACAAATAAAAAATGCATTGGGAGAAGGCCAGCCAGGAGGAGCAAAGCAGCAAACACTAAGCAAGGAGTCTGAACTCCTCATGTCCCTGACCCACAAGTCGAAGGCTGAGGGGAGCTATGAGGTAAGACATTCTTCTCAACCTGGTTATAAATGTGCCCAGGACTATTTAGCCAGCAATGAGAATGCTTCTTTTATTGAAAAAGCTGATATAAAATCATCATTTCACTATTAAGAGGTCAAAGAAAACTCCTAAGAATCCTCACTGAGAAAACTTTATAAAACACTTTTCAGAGACAGAATATGTAAACTAATAAAGACCAAAAATATAAGACTTCCCCCAGGTAATTAAAACAAGTTATTCCTTTAAGATCAAAACAAAAATGGCAAACTTAAACAGTAAATCAATCCTAAGGTTTCATTATATCATACATTACCGTGTTATTACTTTAAAAATCTAATACTTTAGTATGGAATTAAGTTTCAGACACATTGCCCTTTTTTCACCATTAAAAGGACCAACTCAGACCACTGTTCTGAAATGCTCAGAAAATGCACCCGTAAGTTTTGTTTTTTGGGTTTTTAACGAAAAGAAAAACATGCAAACAGGTTTATTAAACCCAGTATCAGTAATTTAGTTCTAGTGAAACATCATCCATTACACTGATGCTTTCAATTTGCACTCTAGTGATTTTGTAGGTTTGTTTTTAATTAATATATGTAAGGCCTTTAGCTAATAAGTATGAACCTTCAGGAAGAGGAGGGGCCACCTGAAAATGCATTAAATTTCTAAAACTCTGCTTCCAATTTAACAGTCAAAGCTAAGCATCACTGACACTCAAGTCAACAATTTTTAGAACTGGAATTTTACTAAAATTTAGCAGCAAGTGAATAAAATAGCAAGAACTTCAGGGCAAGATGGTATGTAAATATGAAAAAAATATAAAATGCTTGGAATTAATTCAGGACTTAGAAAAATACTTGAATGGTTAAGTGTTAAAGTAATCAAAAAAATTCATTAATAGATTATATGCTAAAAGGGACTTTTTTCCACCTTCCATTCATACTTCATATATATAGAATTTACTCAGATTTTGCCTAAGCTGTCCCACCTCCCTCCCACAAAAATTAAATTATCTTAAGAATTAAGGCTCATATACCTGAATGTTTATATAAATATTTTGCAGGCAAATTTTAGAATTTTAAAATCCACAATAATTCACCATTATAAACCAAAGGAAAAGGCAACTATAGGTAAAAAAATTTTATCATACAATCAAGGTAAATAAAAAAGAATTCTTAGATACTTCTAGGTATGTCAAATTTGGGTGGAGCTTTGGTCCTTACTAAGCCAAAGCTATTTTAAAGCTACCAGACAGGTCAAGTTAAATAAAGGAAGACTCACTAAATAAAACTAACAGTTTTAGCTCCATTATTAAAAATATTAGTGCATAGAATACAAATAAATGTTTTGAATAAAGACCTGATTTACTGCTAAGCCACATGCAATAGGACATCACTTCAAGGCTGTAATGTTTGGTAAGGTCTTCTCTCTAATTCGTAATAAAGTTCTGTTCTTATGCAGAACTCACAAAAGTAAAACCTCTCAAATGACAGCTGTGTGAGAGTAGTGTATAATACATATACGAAAGTAAACCTACAAACAGTGAATCTCACCAAGGCACAAGTTAAAGTGGCTTATCAGAGGTCACAGGGTTCATTTAAACTCTAGTTTTCTTAATTATCAAGTTCATGCCTTTTATTATGAGCCTCTCTGGCTTTTCAAGGCATGTTTGCTCTTTTCTAGAAAGAAGGTACAGGAATAAATGCAAAAGAAAGGATATGTTGCAACAGAACTAACAGCCTGTCATGTAAAAGACCTTAAATTTCAGTGAATGGTAGAGTTAAACATGATATGATTTTTCCACACTATGTGGCAGACAGGATTCTCTAATATTATAAGACTTTAGAAGTGTAATGGCATCATCTTCAGTCTTTAGTTCTGAAGCTTTATCAAGTTTTGTAAACTTTTAAAACAGGAATCCTTTTCAATAGAGTAAGGTATAAAAGAACTGACAAGTTTCACCTCAAACAGCATCTTTCATGAGGCTGTCCTCAGTCCCTCCCTATCATGCCTGCAAAAGCACGGATTCAATTTTAAAAGGCACTAAGTGGCACATAAAGGACTTAAAACTGCATTTCCATTTTGTCCTTTAGCTTTCCCCCCATAAAGTGCACAAAGCAGAGAGTAATAAGAAAAGAGACACAGGCTTGGATCTACATCGTCAGCAAGGAAAAGAAATGCCTCCAACAGAAATGGAAGTGTGTTTAAGAGTTTGAAACCACAGGAAAGGCCTGTTCATTTATTGGTGCCATGTTTCAGTTCTTCCTGGAGGGTCCCAGATCTACATTCCTCTGGAACTACACCTGTGGCTGCAGCAGAAACGCAGAAATCAGTAGGGGCTGATTGGGTTGTTGTTGGATCCTCTTGTTAAGATGCTATTGAGCTTTTTTATCCACAGGGTGTCTCCCAACAACTGCATCCCTCATGGCAGCCTGAGTGGAATTACCAATATGAGAAGTAGCCTGCAAAAGTCCATGAGTCAAAATGTAAGTTAAGAAAATACAGCCCCGCGTCAAGAGAATAAATCCTTGGAGATAAATTTTCAAAAATTTCTATCTACATCATCAGTATATTACAGAAAATAGGGGAATGAAAATGTGAAGGAGGAGAGCCTGTGGCAGCACCTACCTCCCAAGAGAGTTAGCTGACCCTTTGCTCTGTTGTTGGGGTGGAGTGGGCAGCTTTCCCGGCTTCACTACAAGCTTCTAACTTAACTGATCTGTTCATGCTACTCAGAAAAAGAAACCAGAGTCTCGAGGATCTATAAACCTAGAGATCATGTCAATGTCAAAAGCCATTGACTTTTTGGAAGATTTTAAGTTAAAGAAATGCCAACCATTAATAGGAATCAAAACAAAAAATTGTGTTAAATTCATATTTTTCAAAGTTCTTGATTTTTAGTAAAGCAAATTAATCTTGGATAAGGGAAAGAATCACATAGGAATTGTATCTGAAAGACATATAGTTAGAAGTTTCTCATGAGGAACAAAATATGCCTAAGTTGAAACACTTTTTGCACTGAAGGGTAATCCTTAGGCATGAAAACAAAATATTAAAACTGACTAATATCCTAAAGAAGGGTAATAAAGCAATGCTAATCAGAGAAAAATAGCCAGGGAGAGCTTCTCTTGCCTTCTTTCACTACAAAGCTCTTCCAAATGGAGATATTTTATAATAGAAACACAAATATCTGTCCACTGTCAACCCTCAGGCTCCACAGCTGGCACACTTACCTGCTCCAATACATATGCTGCTCCAGAATCGATAGCTCCGCCCAGCTCACGATACTGACCAGAATACCTGATGTACCCCCAAGTGAGAAGTGCTATTAACAGCAGTCCAACTATACAGTTGAACAGCTGGGCCACAACCTCCAGACCAATAAAGCCAGTGAGGCCCGAGGCTATGTACAAAGCCACGATGCCCGTGAAGAGCACTGCAGGGGTTCGGAAGGTGCTGAAGATGTTCTTGCTACCGTTGTGCTTGCAGAAGTTCTCATAGAGTTCCTTGATTTCCTCCTCCAGCTCCTGCTGGTAACGAAGGCTAAAATCCTTCCCACCCATCTTCTTGGTCTTCTTAAAATGGTCAAGAGCACGTTGTCTGAATTCACAGTGCTTCTCCTCTAGAATGTCTGGAGACAAATAAGGTTTCTCTCCCCCACACACCTAAAAAGAATGAAGATGCAATGTGTTGAAGATGCCTTCAAAAACAAGTGCCAAATAAAATTTAAAAAGTGAAAACACTGAAGAACTTAGAATATTTTAAGATATTAGAAATTAAGTTTAAATGATGATCAAGACCAATGAAGTCTTGGTTTGCTGTCTCTGAAAGAACAATTAAATTCCAGAGCAGTGACACTGCAAGAGAGCACTGGTTAGAAGCTTAACAGTCAGAAGGCCCTAATTGCCAGGTGACCTGAGCTGTGTTGCCTCCTCATCTGAAGACACTGTAAAAGGATCAAGTTTGGGCTTTTAAAGTCAGCAACAATGTCCAGATTATAGATATTTCAGAATAAGATATATACCAAACATACCTCCTCCATGTTGCTGTAATAAATGTCCTTGGCAGAGGCTGCAGCTGCTAAATTGTTGGCTTCAGCAGTGGCCTTTTAAGAAAGGAAAGCATAGCTGTAAGTCCTTCCTCTCCTAAGATTCCTCTACAAATAGCCACGTGACATTTCCCCCTCACTTTATTCACCATTCTTTCTTATTATCCTTCTGCTATTTTAAAGTTTCCATATAGCCCAATTTATTAAATAAAATACACCTTTTCCGCCAAAAATGTTCACATACTTAAGAATCTTTATAATAAATTAAACCTCCCCAAAATCATTTCCTTTGCTTCGATTTTTACTTACTGATTTTAGAGAGAGAAAGGGAGAAAAGGGGAGAAGGGGGGAGAGAGAAACATCAATGTGTTGTTCCACTTATTCATGCATTCACTGGTTCATTCTTTTTTTTTTAAGCATACCTTATTGATTTCAGAGAGGAAGGGAGAGGGAGAGAGACAGAAACATCAATGATGAGAGTCATTGATCGGCTGCCTCCTGCACGCCCTCTACTGGGGATCGAGCCTGCAACCTGGGCATGTGCCCTGACCAGGAATCGAACCTCTATCTCCTGGATCCTAGGTTGATGCTCAACCGCTGAGCCACACCAGCCAGGCTCATTGGTTGATTCTTGCATGTGCTCTGACTGTTGATCAAACCCACAACTTTGGTGTATCAGGACAATGCTCTAACCAACTGAGCTACCTGGCCAGGGCCCTTTACTTCAATTTTAAATGTTAAAAAATAGATGTAAGTCAAAAAAGAAGGGAAGCAAATTATCTTTGCAATGTCAATCCCAAATTCTAGCTTCCTGAGAGAAAGAATAAACATTTGGCAATAAATAGCCTTATGTTCAGTACATGAAAGTCAGAATCATGTTTTAACAAAACAACACTTTGAAAATACCAAAATGTTGAAAATAAAACTAACTGGAAATTTAAAAACCTGATGAGTCAATAGTAAACAGACACATCAGGACACGTTCTAGTGAAACAGACAACAGATAACAGAAAAGTGACCTGTCTCACATAACTGGGGATGCTTTACCTGAGAATAATAAAACAGTGTTTTCACAGTATGTTTGGTGGGAAGATCAGGCCCAGTGAGAGGCCGGTCTGTTTAATCTGAAGCACCAAGAATATAGATGCAAGGAAGCCGGTTGGGAAATGTGATGGAAATTAACAGAGCTCAGCATAAGGGGAAAGGAGAGCCACAGCACTGTCCTCTTAAAGGACTCTGCCTACTGCATCCGATCAACTCACACAATCGCAGGCTACACTCAGGCTATCCAAGAACTGCGTACCTGAAGCATGGATTTGGGGTGAGGCAGATCTTCTCCTTGGTAAATTTTAATATATGCCTTAAAATGTAAACATAAAAAGAATCACCAAAAGTGTTATTCTGTCATAATTAACCATACTTTCAATTGTAGAAACAGTAACCAAACAACTGAATTTTCCTAAAGCCCTAGATCAACACCCAGGAATTAGCAAAAACACGACACACCTTTGAGTGCATGTTAGCATTTTTAGTTAACTAAAAAGGTTCTCAAGCAGCACGAGCCTACCAAGGCTAAAATCCCCACCAGCCTCGCCATGCACACTGGCCTCACACTACCTGTGGGCAGAGTGCCCATCCGCCTTGAGGTAGTCATGTCACATCTAGGTGCCGGCTCCTCCTACTCACAGCAACTTCCTAACCACCTGCTGTCCACACCATCTTCCTTGAGGAACACTCTTCCTTTGCCACAGTAACCACTCCTCCGCTAAGAGAGTGCAAAGAACATCCATTTGGTTCTTAGACTGATACTGCCACCCAGTGGTCCACTCCGGGAAGGCAGTGAGGTCTGAAAATGCCTCTCACCATATCCCCCTTCAAACTTTTTCCTAAGCTTTAAAATATTGAAATTCAAGTTAGTTTAAACCTAGACCAGTTTTACCGAAAGCCAAACATTTTCATAATTAAAACCCATAATTACCTTAAAATACTCCAACAGCCCCCGACAGGTGACTTTTGAGCCATTGATCTCCTTTTCCATTAAGTTCGCTGGGTTTAATATATATGGTATCAGTATCTGTAACTGCTCTTTGAATTCACTGGCAATATCTGTTCACAGAACCATGAAAGGAAACAATAAGCCAAACAGACTATACAACCAAGGTGAGCACAAAACACAATCTTCAGGTCTGTGTAATTGTTTTCTTGTTTTTTAAAAATGTCTTTATTGATTTCAGAGAGAGGAAGGGACAGGGAGGGAGAGATAGAAACATCGATGAGAGAGTCATTGATCAGCTGCCTCCTGCACGCCCCCTACTCAGGATCGAGCACCCAACCCAGGCATGTGCCCTGACCAAGAATCAAACCACAATCTCCTGGATCCTAGGTTGATGCTCAATCCCTGAGTCACACCAGCCGGGCTAATTGTTTTAACATATGCTAGCTCTAAGTGGAGAGCAGGAGTCCCAGATTGCGTGTCTGACACTTTCTGGCTATGACCAGAACAGATAGATCTGTTCTTATGTACTTTGATTGTCTCCTTCGCTTCTGCAGTATTAAGTCCTTCCTAGTCCAGAAAAGAATATGCGGAATATCCTTACCCTGGTTTTCATTCTGGGAGGTTCAGGTCTAATCCCGAGCCTTTCAAGAAATTTCACTTTTTAAAGAATTTAATTAACAAGGTCTTAAAAAAATCAATTATCAACCCCTCAAGTTCTCTCAGACCAGGCCCTTACCATACCTTCATGCTCCCCTTAAACCCATTAGAATCACTATTCATCCATTTCTTTATTTTTGTTCATTTTTTAATGGTAAAATAAATAGAAGCACCTGTACTTCATGATACCTATTTTCTAGCATCTCCTCAGAGAGGCCCTCTGGGGGGAAAGACTGCTGTCTTGGAAAGGTGACAGCTTTTTTGCAGCTTCTACAAAGTTTGCACAGAGGACCTAAGAGATGGATGTTATTAGTAGGCAGGGCCTTTGGGGGGTGATTAGGTCATGAAGGTGGAGCCCTCATGAATGGGATTAGTGCCCTTATAAAAGAGATCCCACAGAACTCCCTAGCCCCTTCCACCAAAACTCTGAGACCTGGAAGATAACCCTTAACCCACCATGCTAACACACTGATCTTGGATTTCCAGCCTCTAGAACGACAAGAAATAAGTTTCTGTTGTTCATAAGCTACCCAGTCTACGGTATTTTGTTACAGCAGCCCAAACAGACTAAGACAGTTGGGAACACAACTGGACATCTACTTTCCTAGGAACCTGAGAAGCTCATATAAGTTTATAAACAAAACTGCTAAGTTTAACACATGGGTAAACTGAGGGCTAGCCATTAAATGACTCAATGTCTCGATGAATAAGGAACAAAAATAAGATAATGGAACCCACGAGTCCCACCTCTGGTTTCTCTAAGCTCCCACTTTGTTAGCACTTCCTGAAACTAACAAATGACTCAGCATCAGGTCTTGTTATTTCATCTACAAATAAGATGAAAACAACAGCCATGACGTGCATCATGTTACCTTTCTTTACAAAGTTTATTTTACTTGATAAACATCAGCTAAGGTTTAATTTTCTTTTACTTAGCACTTTCACCTTTTATAAACCAATAACCATAACATGTCTGTTAGAAAGATCATTAATGGATATGGCCACCACCATTTCAGGTGGAGAAACTAAGGTGAGCTAATTCTAATTCTGACAGTCACAGTAAGGCAGGAGCAAAACCTGAACCAGACTCTAAATATTACTCTTTCTTAAGAGAACACACTGTTTCTCTTCAGCATTCACTAGATTCTTAATTGACGTTTTCTGGTCACTATTTAATGCCAAAGATCAAATTACATGTTTAAAATAACACCATCTGTAACACACCTTTTAATTTCCCATCAAAGTCAGGACTTGTGGCCACCTGGAGTCCTGGATGTGGCAGAAGAAAACAGGTGACACTGGAGAAACATGAGTGAATGTGATTCCGGACATTCTGAATTTCTTCATGCTGATGTTCTTTCACCTACCAATGAAGACCAACAATTTACAAAAGACCATTTGTTTCTCTTTGCTAGGACTAGTATATAGGACAAAGGAAAAAAGATTTCCCAATTCTGATGGGTCATAGTGGCCTACATTTTTCCCAGTAAAAAGACACAGAACCCTAAGAAGCAATAAATGCATACATTTGATTAACCATAGCTTGGGTCCTACAGCTACCAAAGAATAGGTACTAAAGAGTTTCTTTTAAAAAAGTATTGCCCAATACTTAGGAAGAACAACAGGTTCATGGGCATGAAGGAAGATCTAACCAGATACTAATGACAGACAAAGGACTCCTATGTTTTAATTCTGGAGAAAAGGCTAACTAAGTCTGTATATATTCATCCTAAAACAAACAGAATTTTGAATAAAAACATCAGACCAAAGTTCTGAACATTCTAAAGGCACATACAGAACCTGATATAAAATGTGAAATGGAAATTACAATCAAAGCTTGGGCTTTTGCCAAGAGTTCTCTACAATCCCTGGGCACTGTATACCCAGGTTCTTCAATCTAAAACACAGATAATATTAGTGTATGTTAATACACATAAGTATTTAACACATTTAGTATAATTTTCCGTAATCTGCTTGAAATACAATAGCTAAGGCAAATGAGAAAGTTATCACTGCTTTTAGGTAATTCCTCATATAATATTTCTACTTACCTGTAGACGCTTATCCAAAAATGACATTCCTCCCTGTAGTCCATAGCTGTATTCATAAGGGAAACTCCAGTCTCGAACCAAAAACATCAGTGTCTATTTAAGAAAAAAGTAGTACATATTATAATGTTGCATAAATGCATTTTCAAAATAACAACTGAAATACTTCTTTGCACAATGCCAGCTTCTTCAAGGGAAACAAGAAAATATGCCGAAGGATTGATCTATTATGTAAAGTCTTAGAAACCTAATAAATATCTAGGCTAAAGGCAAGGCGAATGTAATAAATGACAAGAGAGAAAACAATGTGGAACTAGCTACTCATACCTCAAATGTACTTTCAACATTAGAAAGGAAAGGAAAACTAAATAATACTTAAAGCTCCTCTAATCTTACTGAGGGTACTGTGCATTCCCATCCTCATTAAATAATTAGCTAAAACAGGGGTCAGTAAACTTTTTCTGTAAATGGCCAGAGAATAAATATTTCAGGCTGCTGCAGCATGAAGCAGCCTTGGACAATACAAATAAATATGGCTGTGTTCTAATAAAACTTTAGCTGTAGACACTGATATTTAAATTTCAGATAATTTACATGTCATAAAATAATATTTCTCTTTTGATTTCTTTCAACCACTTAAAAATGTAAAAACCATTCCTAACTCATAGGTCACATAAAAATAGAGAGCTGGCCAGAACTGGCCTGTGAGCTGTAGTTTGCTGATCTCTGAACCAAAATAAAGATATTTTGACATTTATAGTTAACATTCTACCTGGAAGGGTTTTTGGAAAATTTCATCCATTGCCAGACGACCATATTCTGTGAAGAGCTTAAAAAAAAAAAAAAAAAAAAGAGTTAATGGCCTGGTTGCAAGTCTCGTGGGGTCCCTTAGAGTTTAGGAGATGCAAGCCTGTGGGAGAAGAAGAGGGGGAAGGGAAAGGCGCAGACATGGAAGGGAGAGCACCTTCTTTGGCTATTCTTTATCAAAATATTCATTTAACAGACCTGACTACTACTTATATGAAACCAAAGTTCTACAGTTTCAAAAGCCCACAGGAACCATGCACCTTAAAATAATCTTGGATCTGTCTCACATTCCATATCCCAATTCATTAGCAAATCCAGAATCCAACCACTCACAAATTTCATGTGGCTTGGAATATTGCAATAGCTTCCTACCTGGTCTGCCTGCCCCTCCTCACCCCCATTCTCAATATAGCAGCCACCATGGCTCTGTTATCAGTAAGGTTAGTTAGATCACATCCTGCCTCTGCTCAAAACCCTCAACCACATTCAGTATAAAAAGCCAGTCCTTACAGTGTGATCCCACCACGCTGGCCCTCCTTGCTGTTCCTCAAACATGCTGGGCACACTGCTGCTTTAGGGCCTTTGTTTTGACTCCTCTTGCTGCCTATAATGTTCTTTGACTAAATATCTGTGAAATCAGGTCCCTCATTTCTTAATTTTTGTTGTTGTTGTTGATCCTCACCGGAGTATATTTTTTTCTATTGATTTTTAGAGCAAGTGAAAGGTAGTGAGAGAAACACATCAATTGGTTGCCTCCCGAATGATCCCTGACCTGGGCTAGGGATGGAACCTGCAACCCAGAAATGTGCCCTAGACCAAGAATCGAACCCATAACCCTTTGGTGCACCGGCCAACGCTCTAACCACTGAGCCACATGGGCCAGGGTGGGTCCCTCATTTCTTAGTCTTTAATCAAATGGCTCCTTCTCAATGAAGCCTTCCATCACCATCTACCTAAAAAGATTACAGTTTTCCACACAATATTTCCTACCCCATGTCTTTTTAATTTTTCTCCTTAACATGTTCCACTATCTAACATACTATATCTTCACTTATCTTGATTAGTGTGTCTTTACTACTAGCACTGAAACTCCGCAAGAGCAGGAATGTTTGCTTTGTACACTACTGTACCTTCAGCAGCAAAAAGAGTACTGGGCCCACAGTATGTATGCCATTCAAATAACAGAGTGAACAAATTCTTTTAAGGTTAGTGTTTACACATACATTTACCTCTATTTCTTCATGAAGCCTCACTAAAAGTGTAGCAAAAAAGTTTAAAAGTTATAAACTTACAGGACAAAGATAATGAGAAATAATATAACAGCAGACAAGAGTTGTCAAAAACACTGGAAGGAAAACAGACAAAGGAGAACTGTCTTGTGTTTTGGCTTTCTCTGCCCTAGGACATCTGCAAGAGGCAGGGGGCCATCCAGAAATAAGCAGATTCTCTCAGCAGAATCCCTGAAAGGCTCAGAAATTAGAATCATCAGTTACCTTGAAGGAAGGGGTGAGAATGATAATTAAAGAAATGGTTGAGCCCACCCAGGCGTGGCTCATCAGTTGAGCATCGACCTATGACCCAGATCGAGGTTCGATTCCCAGTCAGGGCATATGCCTGAGTTGCGGGCTCGATCCCCAGTAGGGGACGTGCAGGAGGAAGCCAACAATGATTCACATTGATGTTTCTCTCTCTCCCTTCTTCTCTCTGAAATCAATTAAGATATATTAAAAAAAAATGGTTGAAAGTCTTTGGAGAAAGCACCTAACACTCCCAGATCCTGCTTCCTCCCCTAGCTTCAGTGCTCTTCTGGTTCCCACAGAAGATGGGAAGACCACTATCTGGAGAGGGTAACCCAGAAAGAATATAGCTGTTGGTACCAAACTCAGTTGAGTAAGAAGTTCCCTACCTTACTGAAAATGGGTACCTAAATCAAAGCCTACACACATACTGAACAGAGAAACTCTTTAGCCTCACACCCTGCTGGAGCCTCAGCAAGCTTCTACCCACCCAATCCAGGCAGGGGTTGAAAGAATTCTTCCCTGGGGAATTCGACAGCCCAAAAACGACAGTCTACAAATACAGGCAATGAAATAAAAGTTGCAATGAAATAGCTAAATCATCTTTCCCAATCACCTCTCTGTGATTCAAAACAGTAAACAAGGCTCACCTCTTACCAAAGCTCCCAGTCAGATTTTAGTGGCGCACTGTTAACTAGAGAGTCAAGGACCACCAGACCTTTGAAAAAAGCTCCTAGCAGAAAAGACAAAATTCATGTCCTTCAATTCTAGAGCATCATCTTATATTACTCTTTTTATAATTTCTTTCCCTCCATGTTCTGTTTTCTTTTACTAAAATATCTATTATTTTATTANACTAAAAGTGTAGCAAAAAAGTTTAAAAGTTATAAACTTACAGGACAAAGATAATGAGAAATAATATAACAGCAGACAAGAGTTGTCAAAAACACTGGAAGGAAAACAGACAAAGGAGAACTGTCTTGTGTTTTGGCTTTCTCTGCCCTAGGACATCTGCAAGAGGCAGGGGGCCATCCAGAAATAAGCAGATTCTCTCAGCAGAATCCCTGAAAGGCTCAGAAATTAGAATCATCAGTTACCTTGAAGGAAGGGGTGAGAATGATAATTAAAGAAATGGTTGAGCCCACCCAGGCGTGGCTCATCAGTTGAGCATCGACCTATGACCCAGATCGAGGTTCGATTCCCAGTCAGGGCATATGCCTGAGTTGCGGGCTCGATCCCCAGTAGGGGACGTGCAGGAGGAAGCCAACAATGATTCACATTGATGTTTCTCTCTCTCCCTTCTTCTCTCTGAAATCAATTAAGATATATTAAAAAAAAATGGTTGAAAGTCTTTGGAGAAAGCACCTAACACTCCCAGATCCTGCTTCCTCCCCTAGCTTCAGTGCTCTTCTGGTTCCCACAGAAGATGGGAAGACCACTATCTGGAGAGGGTAACCCAGAAAGAATATAGCTGTTGGTACCAAACTCAGTTGAGTAAGAAGTTCCCTACCTTACTGAAAATGGGTACCTAAATCAAAGCCTACACACATACTGAACAGAGAAACTCTTTAGCCTCACACCCTGCTGGAGCCTCAGCAAGCTTCTACCCACCCAATCCAGGCAGGGGTTGAAAGAATTCTTCCCTGGGGAATTCGACAGCCCAAAAACGACAGTCTACAAATACAGGCAATGAAATAAAAGTTGCAATGAAATAGCTAAATCATCTTTCCCAATCACCTCTCTGTGATTCAAAACAGTAAACAAGGCTCACCTCTTACCAAAGCTCCCAGTCAGATTTTAGTGGCGCACTGTTAACTAGAGAGTCAAGGACCACCAGACCTTTGAAAAAAGCTCCTAGCAGAAAAGACAAAATTCATGTCCTTCAATTCTAGAGCATCATCTTATATTACTCTTTTTATAATTTCTTTCCCTCCATGTTCTGTTTTCTTTTACTAAAATATCTATTATTTTATTATTTTTTGTTAATCCTCACCCAAGGATATTTTTTCCATTGCTTTTCAGAGTGGAAAGGGGAGGAAGAGAGAGAGACATGGATGTGAGAGACACACACCTATTGGTTGCCTCCCCCATGCCCCCCAACCAGCGCTGGGGATCGAACCTGCAACCAAGGTACGTGCCCTTGGCTGGAATCAAATCTGGGACCCGCAGGTCGACACTCTAACCACTGAGTCAAAACGGCTAGAGCTAGAATACCTATTTTTAACATGTTAACCCTCACCTGAATTGATCGCCAGATTTTCCTTTTCTTCTGTGCCCTACTGTTCTGCCTCCCCCTCCCCCTCCCCCTCTCTCCCTTATCTTATCTTCGCTTCACTTCCTTCCCCCCACCATTTCTTCGCTTTGCATCCGCCAGGGAGAGTATCTTCTAACTCCTCCTCTACTGAATTTTCCATTTTTGCTGTCACAGTTTTAATTTCCAGGAGCTCTTTTTTGTTTTCGGAATGTTGCTTTTTAACAGCATCCTGTTGTTATTTCTTGGTTGTAACAATTTCAATATCTTATCTGAGATTATATGAATTTACAAAAAATGAAGAAAAAGCCCAAACTAAGCTACATTACCATGAAAATTCATGCCAAGAATAAGATCTGAAAAGCCTCAAAGAGAAACAAAGAGGTACATACAAGAGAGCAGGAGTCATGGTGTGGGACTTCACCACCGCGAGCTGGACACAATGAAGCAATGCTTCAGTTCTGAAGAAAAAAATCATTACTGTCTTCTCGTCAAGAGCCCTACTCTGCTGAGATTCACGCTATTCTATAGCACTCCCCTCCCCGTTTTTTACTGCTGTCCACCTACTGACCACGTGCTCATTCCCTCCCATGTACCAAGAACTCCGACACCTGTCCCAGTCTTCACCAAAGCAGCCATCCTCCATTCAATTTCTGCCTCAGCCAAAAGTCTAAGATGAGGAAAGATATGTTTCCTCCCCTACAAGACATAACGAAAGGAATCAGGAACACTTGATGTTAAAATGCTTATGGGAAAGACATACTTAAATATATCTTGGGTTTGAGAAATCAGGAGGTAGGGGAGCTCTTGAGAATAGCATCAAAGGAGAATTTCATAACTGCATCATATTTTCCTTCCCACCTGTTATGAGTTGAATTGTTTCTCCCTCCAAAAATATTTTTAAGTCCTAATCTCTGATACTTACGAGTGTGACTTTATTGGAAATATGCTCTTCACAGATGTAATTAAATTAAGATGATTTAGCGTGGGCCCTAATCCAATATAACTGCTGTCCTAACAGGAAGAAATAACAGAGGAGAGTGCAATGTGAAGACACAAGACACATGGACACAAAGGAAAGACAGCCTTATGAAAACAGAGGCCGAGACTGAAGTGCTACAGCTGTAAGCCAACGTAAGCCAAGGACTGCCAGCAAACCACTAGAAGCTAGGAAGAGGTAAGGCTTCTCCCCCACAGGCGTCAGAGAATATGGCCCTGTTTACCTGATTTCTGACTTCTAACCTCCAGAACCGAGATAATATATTTCTATTGTTTTCATCCACCCTGCCTGTGGTGCTCTGTTACAGCACCCATACCTATTTATTTATGTATCTGTCTCATTGACTGGAGCACAAAATCCATAAAGAATCATGTTTGGCCCTGGCCGGTGTTGCTCAGTGGTTGACCGTCAACCAATGCACCAAGAGGTCACCAGTTCAATTCCCTGTCAGGGTTGCTCCCCAGTAAGGGGTGTGCAGGAGATAGCCAATTGATGTTGATCTTTCTTTCTCATTGATGTTTCTATATCTCTCTCCCTCTCACTTCCTCTCTCTAAAATCAATAAAAACATATTTTTTAAAAAAAAGTCTGACCAGTGTGGCTCAGTGGTTGAGTGTCAACCCATGAACCAGGCAATCATGGTTCAACTCCTGGTCAGGGCACATACCCCAGCCTGCAGGCTCGATCCCCAGTAGGGGGCGTGCAGAAGGCAGCAGATCAATGACTCTCATCATTGATGTTTCTCTCTCTCTCTCCCCCTTTCTCTCTCTGAAATCAATAAAAACATATTTTTAAAAAAGAAAAAAGCAAGCCCTGGCCGGTTTGGCTCAGTGGTTAGAGAATCGGCCTGTGGATGGAAGGGTTGCAGGTTTGATTCTCAGTCCAGGGCATGTACCTGGGTTGCAGGTTTTCCCTGCCCTGGTGGGGATGCAGGCAGGGGGCAACCAGTGGACACGATGTGTCTCTCTCACATCAATGTTTCTCTCTCTCTCTGTCTCTCTCTCCCTATCCCTCTCTCTCTGAACAGCAATGGAAAAAATATCCTTGGGTGAGGACTAACAACAAAAATAGGGAGGAACCAGTTTCAGGTGAAAAGGTGTCAAATTCCAGTTCTGATGGAAATGTATTACAGAACAACAGCTCTCAACCACTGCATCATGGCGCTGGTGTAGAACCATCAATTATAAAGTATGAGTAATTCCTAGTAGTAACATTAAGGGCCAAAGTTTAGGAATTGTTTTCTTTTTTTTAAAGAAATATTATATTGCTAATTCTTGATCCTGCCAGCCCCCTCCACCTCACGGTCTTTCTTCTTGCTGCTCCCTCTCCTATACCACTATCCCCCAGATATGTCTGCAGGACTTACTTGGCCACTTTCTTTAGTTCCCCACTCAACTCATTAAGGCCTTTCTGACCACTTCAGCAATAGGTACACAGAGTGTGAGATTACTATGAACATAAACTTTCCTCCATGTTTCAATCTTTTGCTAAAACTACTCAAGTAAAATTTTTCTGTCTTAAAACTTTTAAAAAATATACTATGATGTTTTAATGAGGAATATATACCTGTAGCTGTTGAAGATCATCTTCCTGAATGTTCTGAGACAAATTATATATCTAGAAAACAAACATCCAAATTGATACTACTTTAGCTTACTTCAAACAAAGCCCAAATAAGCCTAAAGCATTGCTTTGTACATTTAAAGGTTTGCATATAACATAAAGTGTGTTCAAATAGTAATACCATCATTCCTTTAGAAAACTATACTTACATGATTGAAATAACATAATTCTTTCTTTACAGTTTAAAATACAGTTTTCTGAAGTTCTTACCAAATCTACATTTCCTATATGGTGTAATTTCAATTTCCACTTTCACACTTTCATTAAAAATTTTTACATAAGTTTAGACCAAAGTGTAAAAATAGTTTAGGCTCCTTCTTGAGCCTGTAAGAGGTTAGCTTATATCTGTAGTCTACAAAAAACATTTACATATCACCATAGGAATTCAGACACAGGACAGTAACTAAAACTAGATACAGCCCCTTTATGTTATTTCCTCTACAAACTTGTTTTCCTAGTCAAGTGGTTTTACCTGGACAGAACTAGTCATGGTGCTTAGAGCAAAGATGGTAGCACAATCCTTCACAGTGGACTGGCTGTCAAATGCCCCCTGGGTATCCATCAGTACAACTGCAACCTAAAAAAAAGGAAAACACAAAATACATTAATGTGAGAAGGGGGAAAATATAACAGAGAAATCGAAAAGTACAGGTAACATTTAAATGAGGCTTAAGCACCTGCTTATAGGTTCCATCAGAAAAGTATAATTACTTAGGTGCCTTGTTTTGAGCAGAAAACCTGAAACCTGGGCATCCTGGCGCAGCTGGTTGGAGTGACGCCCGGTTCACCAGGTCACAGGTTCGATTCCTGATCAGGGCACATGCCCGAGGTTTCGGGTTTGATCCCAGTTCAAGGTGGGTACAGGAGGCATCCAATTATGTTTCCCTCCCTTCCTCCCCGCCCCCACCAGCTTCCTCCCTCTAAATTCAATAAACATATCCCCACCAGTGAGGATTTAAAAAGAGTCACACACACACACAACTTCCCCTCCTGACCCTTACAAAGAAATTTGGGGATAGGCTGTGTAACTGTAGCTTACTATTTTTTGTTAGAAGCCTTATATTACTATTTGACCTTTTAAACTATATTCATGCGTTATTTTTAAACCACAGACATATCATTTTCATAGAAATCATTTTTTAATTAGATTATCAAAGTACACGTTAAAGTTCTTCTGTTGTTTTTGTTCATTTGTAAGTATTTTTCTTCCTTACCTTCTTTCCACCTGGCTTCTCCACAGTGAAAACTTCATTCCAGATCTGAATCCCAGTAGTTTCTGGGTCAGAGCCCCCTCTCCATGAAAATCCTGTTAATGGTTCTTCTGAATCACCTAACCAATTTGAATGGCCACCTTCTTTCTACAAGAGAAATAAAACATTTCCATTATATCTTAAATTTTGAGTAATTTTAAACATCAAGAATAACACACGAGCCCAGCCGGGCGTGGCTCAGCAGTTGAGCATCGATCTAGGATCCAGGAGATTGGGGTTCGATTCCCGGTCAGGGCACATGCCTGGGTTGTGGGCTGCAGCCATCAATGACTCTCTCATCATTGATGTTTCTATCTCTCTCTCTC